ATACCTCCAGCGCCAGAGACTTGTAGGGGAAGAGTCAAACTTTGGGGACTCACCCGTGTACCAGAGGGCCAAGGCAGCAGGGGGCAAGAAGCCTGGGCGAGCTGGGCTCCTCCATGCCTGGCAGAAGATGAGGTGCAGAGGCGAGAGGTGGGCAAGCAGAAGAGGCACTCAGCCAGCCGCACAAGCTGCATGCAAAGAAACCTCCGCCACCCCAAGCTTCAGGGCTGCCTTGTTAAAGGAGTACGGAGGCCAGACTCGCAAATGAGAAAAAGCAAGCTCAGGGTTCGTGGGTCGCATTTTGGGCTGTGGAAGAGGAATAGGCTCCATTCCTGGAGTTCTCTCGAGTTCCTGTGCTTTTGGTTTTGCTTTTTGCAAATCCGCCTCCCAAGACTGCTCCAGGTGCTCCGGCCTGAGGGCTGCTGGGGCTTCCCACAGTTCGGCCCCATTATATCCTATGGGCCATTGAAGTCAATGGCGAAAACATAGGGTATATTCTGGGGGCTGGAGGGGAGGGGGTTTGAGCGAGAGGCTCCAGAATCGCAGGGTAGCTGCTGGAGCCTCTCCCCAAGATACCTGCCATGGGTCCAATTCTACGGGCCCCAAACAGGTTGCCCCATCCCCTCCATTGTTCTCTATGTTGGGAAAAACAGTTTCTTTTTTCCCACCATAGAGAACAATGGAGGGAATAGGCCGTCAGCGCCTACGGTGGAAGAGCCACACTCAAGGGGCCAAAGAGCCGCATGTGGCTCTAGAGCCGCAGTTTGCCTACCACCGGCCTAGGTGAAAAGGGGAGTTCTGACAGAGTAGAACTGTGCAGAAGAGCAGCTTAAAGCGGGCTGAAATTAGTCAAAGTGCACATGCGGGGGAGGGTGGGATAAAAATCGAATAAATAAATAAATAAAAGGATCTCAGTTGTAGGAACAGGACCTCAGTTCAAGAGTTCAACATGAAGTGTTGTTTCTTATACTTTACTTTCCTCAGTGTTTTGTTTATATCATAAATACAAACCTTCTTGTTTGATTAAACCTCTGGGCGACATGTCTAAGGGAAAGAACCACACACACACTCAAGTCTATATTTACGTTAAAGGATATGAATGGTGGCAGCAAGTGACTGGAACAGTGTTTGAGCCCCAACCTCAATAGCTCTGTGAGTGCAGGCTGATTATGAAACGGGGGCTGGGCTACTCTGTGTATGTCTCTGGGAATCAAGGTGGGGAGCCATGTTGTTCTGAAGCAAAAGAACAAAGCAATACAACAGTGGCACCTTTGAGACCAACAAAGTTTTATTCAAGGTGTGAGCTTTCGTGTGCACGCACACTTCGTCAGATAATGAAATGGAATTACAGATCATAGTTGTATATAAGAACATAAGAGAAGCCAATGTTGGATCAGGCCAATGGCCCATCCAGTCCAACACTCTGTCACACACTGGCCAAAAATACCAGGTGCCATCAGGTCCAGCTGTGGGGCCAGGACACTAGAAGCCCTTCCATTGTTGCCCCCCCCCCAGCACCAAGAATACAGTGCATCACTTGCCCCAGACTGAGAGTTCCTATCTATACCTTGTGGCTAATAGCCACTGATGGACCTCTGCTCCATGTTTATCTGATTCCCTCTTGAAGCCATCCATGCTTGTAGCCACCACCACCACCTCCTGTGAATTCCATGTGTTAATCACTCTTTGGGTGAAGAAGTACTTCCTTTTATCTGTTCTAACCTGACTGCTCAGCAATTTCACGGAGTGCCCACGAGTTCTTGTATTGTGAGAAAGGGAGAAAAGTACCTCTTTCTCTACCTGCTCTTTCCCATGCATAATCTTAGAAACCTCGATCATGTCACCCCTCAGCTGTCGTTTCCCCAAGCTAAAGAGCCCCAAGCACTATAACCTTTCTTCATAGGGAAAGTGTTCCAACCCTTTTACCATTCTAGTTGCCCTTTTCTGCACTTTTTCCAATACTATAATATCCTTTTTGAGCTGTGGTGACCAGAACTGTACACAGTACTCCAAATGAGGTTGCACCATTGATTTATACAGGGGCATTATGATACTCATGGATCACTGCCTTGTCGTGGCGAGGGGGCTTGAGCAGTTCAATGAAGCTGTGGGCTATGCCGCGAAGGGCCACCCAAGACGGACAGGCCACAGCAGAGAACTCAGACCAAGAGTGATCCCCCTGGAGAAGGAAATGGCAACCCACTCCAGTACTTTTGCCAAGAAAACCCCATGGAAAGTACCAAAAGGCTAAAAGATATGACGCCGGAAGATGAGCCCCTCAGGTCGGAAGGTGTCCAATATGCTACTGAGGAAGAGCAGAGGGCAAGTACAAGTAACCCCAGAAAGAGTGAAGCGGCTGGGCCAAAGCCGAAAGGACGCTCAGTTGTGGATGTGTCTGATGGTGAAAGGAAAGTCCAATGCTGCAAAGAACAATACTACATAGGAACCTGGAATGTAAGATCTATGAATCAAGGGAAGTTTGACGTGGTCAAAAATGAGATGGCAAGACTGAACATCGATATCCTAGGAATCAGTGAACTAAAGTGGACAGGAATGGGCGAATTTAACTCAGAAGACCATTATATCTACTACTGTGGCCAGGAATCTCGTAGAAAAAATGGTGTGGCCTTTATAGTCAACAAGAGAGTGCAAAAGGCAGTACTGGGATACAATCTCAAAAATGACAGAATGATTTCTGTCCGATTCCAAGGCAAACCATTCAACATCACAGTAATCCAAGTCTATGCCCCAAC